AAACATATACCCATCTAACCAGCGGAAAACGTAAAAGGTTCAAGACAACACAATAAGCAACAATAAAGGATGTCGAACAAGGTTTTGGTCTCCTTTAAATTTGTTAGGGTATACTCAGTGTTACATAAGTGGTTAGGTGTTCCAGGTCGGTTGACTAGTGGGTAGCGAGTACTCGTTCTAGGCGGGGAGTAATCAGGGAGTAAATTACTAAATAATAAATTTTAGGAATATTATATATATATATATATATATATATATATATATATATATATATATATATATATATATATATAACAAATATTAGGTTTATTAAAATTTATAAAGAATATATGAATATCAATAACAATTATAGTTTTTTATTAAAAACACAAAATTCCTGAGTTTGACCGAGTTGGACCAGTTTTCTCCAAGTTTGACCGATTTTCTCCGAGTTAAACCCGAGTTTAACCAATTCCGAGTTTTTTACCTGATTCTTAGAAACCGCCTCAACATATACCTGAGTACTCGACCGAGTAGGCCAAGTTTTAAAATAATGGGTATACCTGTTGCACAACATAATGATTCCAAGGAAAATTAGAGAAATAATATACACTTGCATGATTTTACACAATATTATTTTAAAAATTATATGTGTAACGAGATGTTCGAATCATGTGGAAGATCCTCTAACCGATCAACAAGTAAGTTAATATATTCTTCAAGAGATGCATAGCTAAGAAATCCACCACAACCTTCATTCAGATATATTAGTACATATTGAAAACGCTTATATACGAAACCTTCACAACTAGTTTAAAATTTATTATTAAGTTGTGTTTTTGTATTATTTACCTTTTTATTTGTTTTAATGAAATGTTATTATTATTCTTGTTTTATATTTTTTAAATTACTTTTTTTGTATTTTGAATTACTTTTTATGTATGTAACTTTTTTTATTAAAAAAGAGGGACATGATACTTGCATTGCCACCAAACTTCCTAGGATCCGATAGGGAATGTACTCAAGGATTATGATAACAAGAAAAAATGACCAGGAACAAGAATAGGATCAGTAGTCATGTCGTTGCAGGTCCGTCTCTTTCCGCTGAGATGACTCTCCTTTTTGTTTTGTTTGTTCATCGTGACACGAAATCATGAAGAAGCTAGAATAACTCATGAAAGAGAGTGGCGCCTAGCCCTTGAGAGTATGATTTTGTTGAGTTGTTGTCCCTAACATAATTGAAAAGACTATACCACACTTATTTATTTCTTATTTGTCTATTATTTATCGGATTAAAAAAAGAAGAGTCACACCCCACCCTTACCCACCCCTACCCCCATCTCACCCATCCACCCACACAATCCCTTCTTATCAAGACATGATACATCTATACCTTATCTTTTTTCTTATGTTTAAAACCCTAAACCACTTAGAGGTTATTTGAGATTTCATTTTGATCTTCAAAAAGACTTTTAGACAAAAGAATTTATCGTCGTATGGTGGTAAGAAAATGAGCTTTTAAAAAAGTGTTTAGATTAGTTTTTGTGATGGAAAAAAATCAATAAGTCAATAATGTGTTATTTTTTAAATGTTTGTCTTAACTTAAGGGTATTTTAAGGTAATATTGATTTTTACAACTCAAAAAGTCATTAGGAGTTTAGAAAAGTTACAAATTCTAAGTCCTTAAAATCCTTATTAAAGGGTTAAGTAGAAGTTGTTTTAAAGTCTTTTTCTTTTAGCCAAACATTTTTTTGACTTATTAACTTTTCAAAAAGCCAATAAATTAATAAGTTGGTTTGAGATGAAATCCAAAACACCATCTTAGATCGTCAACATTGGATCTTCTACACCGCCAACGACAACCACATCTTCTACACCATCATCATTTTTGTTTATTGTTGCTCAAATGAGGGGAAGGTGGTCTTTTTCTACTTGATTTCTACATTGATGCTCCATTGCTACTCGATTTCAGATCCTCCACCGTCGCCACCAAACCCACGGTCCCTAAAATTGATTTTGCATCCTCTTCGTCCTCATCATACTCACTATCTTCATCCTCTTCAGTTACCTTTTTTTTTCTTTGGTTTGAAATGAGTAATGTTTTTTCTACTATGATTTTTTTTAAATCGATTAAGCTTTTTGAAATCAACATAGGTTGGAATGTAAAATCGAAATCAAGTTAGTTTTGAGTTTTAAGTTTTAGTTTCAGTTTCAAGGTTTTGATTTCAACATTTTATTTGAGCATCGATGATTCATTGTATATGAAGTTAGGATCTAGTTATTAGTTTCATTTTTTTTTTGTAGAATTTGGGGTTTTCTTGTTTCAACATTTGATTTGAGCATCTATGAGGTTTTTTATTGGGATAATTACTAAACTAGCCATTTTTACTAATTACTTTTCAGTTTTTGAGCCATTAGCCGGAAATAACCTCCAAAACCGTAGACTTCGAAATTACCTACGATTAATGTGCCTTTGACTACGGTCAAAGGCTGTTTGACTACGCTTTTAGTGGGCTGCCTACAGTTTGGTGGGCCAGCTACTGTTTTGCGGCACATTGTCCCAAAATATATAAAGTTAAAAATTTTATTTTTTCTCATTTTGTGTGTATTTCAAGTCCAAAATTCTCTCTCAATGGAGCCTTCAAAAAACAATCATGTGTGTCTCCGAATCTAAAACCTTTTTTTATACGCGATGTTAAAAAATAAGAAACTGTATAGTTTTGAGAGGATTCTTGAGAAACCTTAGGTGTCGTTTGGTTCGCTGGAATCCATTGGAATCAGAAGGAATTGGAATCTAATTTCATCACTTTCCTTTGTTTGGTTCAAGCTTTCAAAAGGAATTGGATTCCTAAATGAGTCAAATTTTCCTTCCAATGAGGGAAAATAAATTTCATCCAAAAACTTAAGCAATTAAAATTCCTTTCAAGTGAGAATGTCGAATGTTACTATATTACCCATTTTACTTTTAACACTACATATGAAACCCTTCTGTCGCCACCACTACCACCTATCACCACCACCACTGCCACCCACCATCACCTCCACCGCCACCCACCATCACCACCACTGGTAACTCCGCTACCACCACCCTCTACCCACTAGCACCGTCACCTCCACCATCATCGATCACTGCCACCGCTACCCACCACCTCCTTCACAACCACCACCACCTCCACCACTACATATCACCGTCGTCCCTACCCGATACACACCACCTCTACCACCACCCACCTCCGCCATAATCACCCACTACCACCACCGTTACCACATATACCACCACACTACCTTCCACCTCCACCTCCACCACCACTCGCCACCACGACCATACAATTACTGCCATCACCACCGCCATCACCTCCGCGACCACCACCAACACCATCGCCACCACCTTCATCACCACCACTGTTACTACCACCATTGCCACCTCCACCACTACTCATGACCGCCACCATCACCATCACAATTACTACCGCCACCACCGTCATCATCTCCGCCACTACCCACCATCACATCTGTTGCCATCATCACCACTATTGTCACCGTCAACATCACTGCCACCATCACCATCATTTACTAATTTTATAATTTATATAATATACTTTTACATATAAGTTATAAAAAAAGTAAAAATAAGCAAAAAAAAAAAAAGGCAATTTTGTCATTTCATATTATTTCAGTTCTATTTTCTGTCAACCAAACATAATATGGAATTGGATTCAAATTTCATTTCTGCAACCAAACATAATATGGAATTGGATTCAAATTTTATTTCTGCAATTCCTGACAGATTCCAATTCCTTAACAGATTCTAATTCCTTCAAAAACATTTTGCAAACCAAACGCCACCTTATAGTTTTGAGAGGATTCCGTAGACCCCACCCAAACATGGCTCTATTTAAATATAAGCGATCAACTACATCTTCCGGAAGTAAAGCTTTGTGTGCAGAGACATAAAGCAAAAACATACAAACATAAATTTAATAGTAAGATTAAACTCGCAATTTACTATACATCAAGGCTAAATCACGTTCTAAGCTATTGGTTTTGTATTTATGAAATTATTTGTGAAAACGAGTACCTTTACTTTTTAAAGAGTTTCAGTTGAAAACTTTGTTAATATTGAAGTGATTTTGAGTAATTGATATTAGAATTTGTTTTAATTTATGGATTTATAACAATTTTCTATGAAAAACATTGTTTACTTTGAAGTTATGCGATGTTCAGATATTATTATTATAAAACGATAATAATAGTACATGTCTAGTCTAGTATAGTCAAGTTTCGTTTCGTCCCATCCAATCCACTTAACGCTCACTATATATTGAAAGAGAGGTTAGGATAAAGCTCGGCCGAGTTAGAATAATAATATTAAAAACATGCTACTCATTATTGAATTGATTTTATCTATAGATTTTAATAATCCGACCGCTCATTGTTTTTGTCTTTGTAATAAACTTTGTTCATCCATTTGTAATATGTACATGCCTCCTCTACACCGGTTAGGATGTTCCATCTCACATTTTCTGTAGAAACTCAATTTATCTTAATGTCTAATAAATCGGTTAAGTTTATAAAGCATCAGTTTATTGTTCCTTTTTCTACTTTTCTTCTACAGGCTGTGATTTTATGTTATGATGGCGCTTGATTGATTACAAAATCCTTACAAAGGAGAAGGATGTGAGCTTGAAACCTCTGTTCTTGCCTGCATCATAGTTTTTCGCTTGATTCATTTTGAGATTTTCAACACTTAATTCTATATATAGGCAATAATTTTAGTCATATATATTTATTAATAATAGTGATGATAAAATTAAAAAATGTGATAATATAATATATATAAAATAATACATCAGCAATACATGTTGACGATTTCTTAGGTTGACTATGTAGCTTCAAATATTGGAGTGACGTTGAGCTCATCTCTATCATTTTGAAGGTTGACTGTGAAGCTTCAATATCATTCATAGAACAACAATTGTAACTTCTGTTTCTCCTTGTTCATTTGGTTCTGCATCATAAATATGTTGGCGGTGACCAGAAACGGAAAGGAATCTCAACCATCCACCACCACCACCTCCTCCTCCTCCTCCTCCTCCTCCATAGAATGGTTACAACCTTGTCGTCACTTTAAATTTTCTGAGATTCTCTTAGCAACCGATAAATTCAATGAATCATTAGTAATTGGGCATGGGGGATTTGGAAAAGTTTATAAAGGAAACATTATCAACGGATCAAGTGTCACCATTGCTGCCATTAAACGATTGGATGCCATGTCGTCTCAAGGTGCAACAGAGTTTTGGGCAGAAGTTGAGATGCTTTCCAAGTTACGCCACTGTCACCTTGTGTCTTTGCTTGGTTACTGTAATCATGAAAAAGAGATGATCCTGGTCTATGAATATATGCCCAATGGAACACTCGAAGACCACATCCATAAACTCCATACCCCTCTTTCATGGCTTCAACGACTCAACATCTGTATAGGTACTGCTCGTGGGTTAGACTACCTCCACACTGGAACTGGGATTGAGTTTGGTGTTATACATCGTGATGTCAAGAGCTCAAATATTTTGTTACATGAAAGTTGGGAAGCTAAAATTTCAGACTTTGGGTTGTCAAGAATAGGTGCAAAGAATCAGCCATCTACTTATGTGAACACACTTGTTAAAGGCACTTTTGGGTACCTCGATCCAAATTATTTCTCAACAGGAAAGTTGACTAGGAAATCTGACGTGTATGCTTTTGGGGTGGTGTTGTTGGAAGTGTTGTGCCGAAAGCGTGCAGTTGATAGAAGACTTGATGAGGAGCAATGGGGTTTAGTGACATGGGCTCAAGAATCTATCACAGAAGGAAATTTGAATAATATAATTGATTCTGGCATAAAGGGTCAAATATCTCCGAAATGTTTGAAGGAGTTTGTTCGAACTGTAGAGAGATGTTTGCTCAACAATCCAAAACAACGCCCTACAATGGCTGAGGTTGTGGTCACTCTTGATTCTATACAAAACTTACAACAGAAAATTAATCGTTCCTTGCAGACTGGCAAAACAATATTTGGAAGAATGATAAATATCTTTCCCTTTAATGGTGAGAACCCTGGTATTTCTAGCTTCTACTGAATTATGTGTGTAGATTCTATAAATTTTGTGTATCCATTAGCTGAAAATTACTAAAATTTTAAAATCCAACCTATATAGATTTAGAACATGAAAAACGGTGGAAACCCCGAATATGATAAAGTTATAAGATCAAATCATCTAGTACTAATTAGGATAAATTCATATTAGTAGTGAACAATTGGTTGATCAACATGTTTGTAGGGTTTTGATGCTAGGTGTAATAGGAATCATGCTAAAACTTCCGTTGAATGCTTGTTGATTTAGGTTCTTAAGAACCATTTAGGTTTCCTAATAATTTACATAAGTTCTATTAATGATAAGCATAATTACATGTTTTCTTTTCCATTTAAAAGGGAAATAGATAGGTAAACTATGTATATAACAGTTGAACGCAAACATTATGTGAAGTAAATAAGAAGAACCACTGTATGCTGGTGGAACATTTGAAATAGCAATTATATAATCTGTTTGTATTTATCTACTTCAGCCCATGATGATTCAAAGCTATCAAGTAATGGCAAGGGTAAAATTAGAACTGATGGTGATGATGTAAAGGATGAAGAAAAATGTTTCATAATTCCTATTCCAAGTTTGAAAATATTTAAGTTTGGCGATTTGGAAAGGACTACAAGCAACTTTAGTCAAGAGTGTCTCATCGATAGGGATGGTTTTGGTGAGGTGTTCACAGGTTGGGTTGACGATAAAACGTTTGCCCCATCAGTAAGGTGTGTTGGAATTTTTGTTGCAGTTAAAAGGTACTATGAAGGTCTTCCAGAATCAGAGGTAAGTATCAATAAATATATACATTATTATGAAAGGGCTAAATGCAAGAAATGGCAACAAACTTCCATTTATTTGTTATTATAATATCTTATTAAGTCATTGTAACTTTGAGAATCTACCCCATTATAGAACTGAAAAGGAAATCAACAAAAAAAAAAAAAAAAAAAAACTCCACATCTTCAACCATTTATCTAAAAAGTCACTACTTTATTTTTCTTTTCTTTTTGAAAAACCACTCATATTTCTAACAGTTTTCAGAAAAAAAAAACATATTATTTAAAAAAAAACATCATTTTTAGGAAAAAAATATTGTTTTTATAACAAAACGTAATTTCTGACCATGGAACAAAGTTCGTTAACCACTATATAGAGTGACAATGATTCGTGTTTTGACTTTGAAACTACCAAAAAATCAATTTTTTTGGTTTCAATCAATCGTTTTTAATATCTTCATTGGTTTTTTTAACAATGTTGTTAGCTACATCTCAACAAATCACATGACTTCGTAAAACACAATACAAGACAAGACCAATTTTTACGCCTCCACAACCAACTCCATCAGCCTAACCTAAGACCAACTCATGTGCCCAACATGTTGGTTCGTTAGCGTGACTAAATAGCCCAACACAACCGGATCCTTAGCTATCGTTCATTGATTATTTCTCATAAATATGTTATTGTTGGAAAAATGTCTATTGTCACAACAAATTAGTGATATTTCTATAAATAGTAGAGTCATTTTGGGTTATACAAAATATATCATTTAAACATAAGATGATAAAAGAAAAATTAGAGGGACTACTTTGTTAATTCATCATGAGATGGTGATTAATTAAAAACTAAAATACTACAAGGGTTTACGTGTAAATAACTCTTTATTTGAATTGGCAGTAATAAAATAGTACAAGGGTTTACGTGTAAATAAACTCTTTATTTGAATTGATATCGCATATCAAGGGATAATTATACCAAGTCAAAGGATAAGTGTTTAAAACCCTTAACCCTAGGCCCCTAGGCGAATCCCACTATAAAACCAGCCACTCTTCCCTTTTTCTTAGGGCGTGTTTGGGATTGCTTCTCAAACTCCTTATTGACTTTTTGGAAAGTTCATAAATTCTTGGTTTTTTGAAAAAATCATATTTTTCATTGAAAAGTTAGTATTTACCAAACACCTTTTTAACTTATTAACTTTTTGATAAGTCAATAAGTCATTTTAAAAAGCACTCCCAAACACCCTCTTCCTCTTGCTCTCGACAACCCCTCCCTTCTCAATCTAGGGTTCGGTTGTGTCAATCGAAGAGAAGAAAGACAAGTCGTATATCATAGATCATCATCTTACGGTGCTACTACAAGAGAAGAGTTCTCGTTTTGGCTCTCCAATCATCTAAGAAACAAAAAGGATCGACTAGAACAAAGGTGATAATCTCCTTTGTTGTCAATTTTTGTTGCTATTAGTTGTCTGAACAAGATCCAAGGCGTAATGTGATGATACAAATTTTTTTATTACTTTTATTGTGTGTGTTTGAAAAACCATCACATTCCAACAATTATAAGTTAATAGGTTGTTTTGTGTCCCACGTTTCCCTCAACCGCAAGATCTCTTGATCTCTATTATATATGCTCCTCAATTCTAGTTAGCACGTAGGTATGCAACAGTTTATATGCATTGTATTGCATCATGGAATATATATAAGAAAACTGCCCCAATAATATGCCGTCCTACTTTCTCTCATTTGTCCATAAACGCTGCTGAGCATCTATATGCTTTGTATCAAGCATTTACTCACAAGTCATACAAACCCCCCGAATGATACATTCTGGTTATTATTTTGAGGTACATTATAAACTATAAAGAAAACAAAGTAGCGGATGCCCAAATCCGAGCTCACATCTAAAAAAAATTGCTATAACGATGCCAAAACCAACTTATATTGCAATTCACTAGAATATTTATGCTATAGATTCTGTTGGGAAAGACCTCCTTTAAAAAGAACAATCATCTCCTAGTCAATTCCCAAATCACAAAGTCTAAGATGGTCTGTTGTGCATTGATGGTCGCATGTTCATTCCTCAACTATTCTATCTTCGTCAAGCGCTAGTAAGTGAGTTTCACTCTTCACCATTAGGGGGCCATCTTGGGATATAAGTCAGTTAGTTGTTGAGATAAAACTGTGTTGTTTTCATGTTTAGATAGTTAGTTAAGTTGGTTAAAGTGCATGTTAGTAGTCATGGTGCATCTTAACTGTTGTATATATTCCCTGATGTATTGTCTATTCAGAAGTAATGAGAATAATTGTTTCTTCTTCATTTCTTTGATGTTCAAATTACAAAATGGTATCAGAGCGCTAAAAAGTTCCACAATCTCAATTTTTTTCTTGTGTTGATTGATCTTTGTTCATTAATCAATTTTGTTTTTCTTTAATCCGCATCAATTGATTTTGTTCATCAATTGATTTTACTTCTTTTCTTCATATTTTTTTGATTGCGTGATTGTTCACCAATCAATCTTGTGTTCTTCATTCCAATGTCTGGAGAATCATCTAATTCTTCCAATTCGAATTATTCTTCTTTGGATCCCTTTTTCATACATCACAATGATAATCCTGGTTCTATTTTAGTATCTCAGATACTAACCGGTGAGAATTTTGCTTCATGGAGCCGATCAATGAAAATTGCATTATTAGCCAGAAATAAATACGAATTTGTTGATAATTCGTTACCTAAACCAGATGATTCAGATCCAGAAAAGCTAAAGTTGTGGAATCGAAATAATAACATTGTTATTTTGTGGATCTTGAATGTTGTTTCAAAAGAGATTTCTGCTTCGATCATCTATTTGGAAACTGCGGCTGATATATGGAAGGAACTCAACGAACGCTTTCGTCAAGGCAATTAACCACAGATCTTCCAGATCAAAAGAAATCTCATGAATCTTACACAAGGTCAGGATTCAATTAGCAATTACTATACAAAATTGAAGATGCTTTGGGAGGAATTAGCGAATTATAGTAACAATTGTACGTGTAGAAAATGTACGTGTGGAGGAGCAAAAGAAATTGAACAAATTATGAGTTTTCTTATGGGATTAAATGAGAGTTATTCTCAAATACGTGGTCAAATCTTGTTGATGGATCCAATTCCATAAGTGAATCGTATTTTCTCACTGCTAATTCAAGAAGAAAGACAAAGAGACATTGGTGCAAATTCTTCTGCTGAACCTGTTTTGGCATTCAATATTCGAGCAAATCAAAACAATCAAAATGCTTCAAATCGATTCTCCAATTTCAAGAATGTCAAGAAAGATTCTCCTTATTGCACACATTGTAAACGAACTGGACACACTCAAGTTAAATGCTATCGTTTACATGGATTTCCTCTTGGATACAAAACACAAAATCACAAAGGTTCTTCCAACAGTGATAATCGTGTTAATGCAACAATGGAAACTCAAAATGTTCAAGTGGCTTCTTCTCCTGCAAATGAAGTTGTTACATGATTAACAAATGATCAATGTCAACAACTCATAGCTCTTGTTTCTGGTCAACTTGCTTCAGTGAATGCTGTTACTACTTCTCATTCTATTCAGACAGGTAATCTTTATGTATTATCTCTTAGTTCTAGATTTTTCAAATCAAATGTCTGGGTTTTGGATTCTGGAGCTACCAGACATGTTTGTAACAATCTTGAATTGTTTACAAACATTAAAGAAATATCCAAAACTAGAATACGATTACCAAATCAATCTCTTATACAAGTTCATCAAATGAAAAATATCAAGGTGAATGAGAAGTTATTACTAAAGGAGGTGTTATTTGTTCCCCAATTCGAATTAAATCTAATTTCTGTTACTATGTTAACAGAACATGATAAGGATTTAATGGTAGAATTATACTATAACCATGCTATGATTCGACAGATCAAGAGCAAGAATGTGATTGGCAAGAGTAATGTTGAAGTTGGGTTATACATACTACAGGAACAAACTACTTCAATTAGAGTCAATGTTGTTGTAACGACCTAAAAATCAAGGGTAAAAAATTCATTTTTAATTAGGTTATTATAAAACCAACTGTATAATAAAACATCCATAATGTCATGTC